CAAGATCTCTGGCTATCGTCAATACAAGATCATCGTCTTTCGACGCAACCCAACCCAGCAAGGGGAGGTTATTGCAGGGCCTTTCGCAGTGCGTGTCCTGCGTGCCCATCCGCTAACGTTATGCCACTGGGCAGACACGTTGCCTGTTACATCATTTGGGCTGCCTGGTTGAGCGCAGTGGCACTGAGAAGTCTCAGGTTACGCATGTAACCATGGTTCATTGAGAATAGGGAACGAGACGCTGCATCCTCTAAAGGGTGCTAGGGGAACGCATTCGGCGTGACCGGTGTCTGAAGCATGAATGAAAAAACGACAATGAACTTGACATTGGCAGGCGGCAGCCTATGACGTAAACAATAAAGCGACTGCGAGGATAAAAGAGCACCTGCGGAATACGTCATCCACTTCTTTGTCTTAAGGAGACGCAGGCAGGAATGCCCGAAGGATGGCAATGGGACGCAGCGTCTCGTTCCCTATTCTCAGGGAACCATGGTTACATACGTAACCTGAGACATTCCCTTTCGAAAGGGAACTCCACGCTGCGTCCTTTAGAGGGCGCTAGGGGAACTGTATACCAACACCGCCATGCTGAGGGATGAGTGCCCAAATAACTGGATTCCCTAAGTCAAAGACTCAAGGAACATCATGCCTGCCGCAGCGAAATCGCTTTGGCCAGAATCCGAGCTACAAGCCTCTACAGGCAGGCTAAAAGCTCGCCAATCGTCATAGACTAGCTCACCCACCAAAGTAAGGAACTCTAAGAGTGGAGGTCTCAGCATAACGACTCTCTAAAGTGAGAGGAGACCTAACTACACTCCATGCCAGAGGCAGCTAGTGAGGCTCAAAAAGAGCCTACATACTCAATTACTGCCAAAGACGGAGTTCTGAAGAGTGGAGGCTTCAGCAGAATGACTCTCTTAAATGAGAGGAAGCCTAACAACACTCAATACTAGTTTAGGAGCTCTTAAGAGTGGAGGTCTCAGCATAACGACTCTCAAAACGAGAGGAGACCTAACTACACTCAACGCTAGACAAAATGAGTGAGGCTCAAAGAAGGAGAGCCTACGTAACATAAGTACTGCTGAAGCGGAGCTCTGGAGAGCAGAGGCTACAGCAGAATGACTCTCTTAAATGAGAGGAAGCCTAACAACACTCAACCCTGGTAGGGGAACTCTTAAGAGTGGAGGTCTCAGCATAACGACTCCCTAAAGCAAGAGGAGACCTAGCTACACTCAACGCCAGAGGCAGTTAGTGAGGCTCAAAAAGAAAGAGCCTACAAACTCATATTACTGCCAAAGATGGAGCTTTGAAGAGTGGAGGCCTCAGCAGGATGACTCTCTTAAACGAGAGGAAGCCTAACAACACTCAGCCCTAGTAGAGAAGCTCCTAAGAATGGAGGTCTCAGCATGACAACTGTCTAGAACGAGAGGAGACCTGACTACACTCAGCGCTAGAGACAGTTAGCGAGGCTCACAAAAGAACCTACATACTAATAGTACTGCCTAACAACATTCAATCCTGGTAGGGGAACTCTTAAGAGTGGAGGTCTCAGCATAATGACTCTCTAAAGCGAGAGTAGACCTAGCTACACTCAACGCCAGAGGCAGTTAGCGAGGCTCAAAAAGAAAGAGCCTACAAACTCATATTACTGCCAAAGACGGAGTTCTGAAGAGTGGAATCTTCAGCAGTATGACTCTCTTAAATGAGAAGAAGCCTAACAACACTCAGCCCTAGTTGAGGAGCTCTTAAGAGTGGAGGTCTCAGCATAACGATTCTCTAAAACGAGGGGAGACCTGACTACACTCAATGCTAGTGACAGTTAGCAAGGCTCACAATAGAGCCTAAAAGTACTGCCTAAGCAGAGATCTGAAGAGAGGAGACTTCTGCAGAATGACTCTCTTAAACGAGAGGAAGCCTAACAACACTCAATCCTGCTAGGCAAACTCTTAAGAGTGGAGGTCTCAGCATAATGACTCTCTAGAACGAGAGGAGACCTGACTACACTCAACACTGGAGACAGTTAGTGAGGCTCACGATAGAGCCTACATACTATATTACTGCCAAAGGTGGAGCTCTGAAAAGCGGAGGCTTCAGCAGAATAACTCTTAAATCAGAGGAAGCCTAACAACACTCAACCCTAATTGAGCAGCTCTTAAGAATGGAGGTCTCAGCATAATGACTCTCTAGAACGAGAGGAGACCTGACTACACTCAACACTGGAGACAGTTAGTGAGGTTCAGAAGAAAGAGCCTACACATTAATACTGCCTAAGCAGAGCTCTAGAAAGTGGAGGCTTCAGCAGAATGACTCTCTTAAATGAGTGGAAGCCTAACAACACTCAGTTCTAATTGAGAAGCTCTAAAAAGTAGCGGTCTCAGCATAACGACTCTCTAAAACGAGAGGAGACCTGACTACACTCAACACTAGAGACAGTTAGTGAGGCTCACGATAGAGCCTACATACTAATAGTACTGTCTAAGCGGAGCTCTAGGGAGCAGAGTACACTGCATAACAACTCAGAAAGCTAGAGTACTGAGCTAGGACTACTAACCATGCTCCTAACTGCCGAACAGAGCTCTAGGGAGCAAGCACTCAGCATAACCACCCTCTAAAGCGAGGGGAGTGCAATCATCCACCCTTATGGATCAGCGTACTCAGTACGAAGACCCTCAAGTGAGGGGAGTACTCGAAAGCTCGACCTGAAGAGCGACTTATCAAGGAGGCCCACAAGAGCCTAACAACCTATAACAGCCAGAGAGCTCTGTTGAGAGAACACTAGGAACTGTGATCTCAGCATAGCGACCCTCAAAGGGAGGGGAGCTACCAGGCTCAAGAACAGCTGATCAGGGAGGCTCACAGA